TCTAAGTGAAAAGTACAATTCTAAGTGAACAGGTACATCATAGTATTTGTTGTTGTTTAATTTATGTTCATTAAAAAAAGTTAAATTTTTTTTTGGACAGGAAGATTTTTATACCAGATTAATGGTATATCATTATATTTTATATCAGATTAATGAGAATGCATTTTTTGGGGGGGATAATGTCAAAATACATAACATCTTTATCTATAAATGTATAATTTCTTATTTGTATTTTAAGTCTTATTCATGTGTTTTTTTTATATTTTGGTGGGGGAAATATGACATTTCTTGGTGAGATTCATCCTTAGAGCTACTTGCACATTGAAACATTGAATCTTTTTCTAATTTCTTTACAGATTCTGAATTTGTGGATCCTGACTGTCTTAAACTCGTTTCTTCCGTCCAGTACCTCAGCCCTCCGGTCAGCTGACCTCTCTACCAGCTTTCAAAGTCTCTACCTTTCGTCCGCAAGAAATCTGACATGTTTGCTCATTTTACTGTCAACTCAGCAACACGGTCAGCCTGGGGCATCAACAGGTCTGTTGATCTGTTCGTTTGAAAAGTGTCATTTGTCTGAAACCTGTCATATCAGTGTTTTTCTCTCTCCATAGTGTTTCTGCAATCACTGCTATTTTTTATTGCAAGTTTATTGCTGGAGTTTTCAAACCAAGGATCATTGACAGTACATACTAGTGCAATAACTACAGTAACACTTTATTAATGTCCAAGGGACACATTTTAAACTGTTGTCTTAAAAAAGTTATGGAATTTGACATTGTGGATAGTTATACTTTAACTTGTTTTTGTGTATCGAAACAATCTGACAAGCTTTTTGAAAAGCTCTATTCTGGAGTTTGGAAGAGAAACAGCCAATTTCTTGAAAGGATTGGGACAGCTGGAGACATAGCAATGGAATCAACTTTGCATTTTCATTTGTCCAATTAAAGTTCAAACCAGAGACAGATAATTGTGTATCAGTGAATAAATGAGGTAAAGTAGCCCTTTGAAAGAACGCCTCTGATCTGGCTGATGTGACCAGAATTGATGAGAGCCCCCCAAAAAAGGTCCATTCATACATATAGTAGGCCTCTTCACAAAGCAGGCAGGTGGCACTTTTACTTGTCGTCTTTGTCCATTTTGGAATGTAATTCTGCCAATTCTGTCCCTTTTTCACTTGGTAAATTCAACTCGACCTAGACTGCAATAGCCCAGCTAGGGTTGTTATTGAACAGAATTCCCATAAATACAACCCCTGGTATGACTATTAATCTATACATGTCTTCACATCTATCTTTGAGCAGACAGACATGTGCTTAAAAATAGACATCTGTACATCTATGTTTTGGTGGCTAGTTAACATTGAACTTAACTTCGAGCCATTTATATATACGCTCTTAATGGTTATGGATGTATATATGAATTAGGGGTGGGCAATATACCGGTAGACACGATTAACCAGTAGAAATGTATCAACCGGTAGAGATTTTGGACTATCCTTTCTATTGCAGTTACACGCTCATGTGATGTTGCTGTTCTACGTGGTCACGAAAACGTATCGTTTGCACACGTTTTTAAGCATTGCAGTTTAAAAACAAGTGATTTTAAGCACTGTCAGAAAGGCGCATGTGAAGACGGTGCTCATAAAGTAAGTATTGAACGGAGTTATTTTTGCCATTTTATAGGCCTGGAACAGTTAAATACACACACTTGTATATATATCAAAATGCCATCTTTGCAAGTATCCTCATAAACACAGTAATTTAGGTCTTAAGTGAAATCAAACAGCTGAGAAAGAAAACACGTGTTACAGTATATTGGATCCGGGCAGCTCTTAAAGTGACAGCAGTCTAATATTCCTGCTGTCTGTCATTTATGTTAATCAAACAACAGAAGAGAGAAAATCTCTCACTGCTCTTGACTAAATCACTTTTGTAACTTTAATAAGAAGAAATATATATTTAATTTACATATGAATATGCAGCGTTTTATTAATCTGATTATACAATGTAGCATTTTTTATTTGTTTGTTCTACTGTAGTTTTTTTGTCCTACTGCTTGTAATTAGTTCTTATTTAATCACTGTTTACTTGTCTTTATTGAGGTTGATTTTTATTTTTATTTTTTTAATTTAAACTATTAGTTTTTTTGTGATATTGACATTGGTGACAAGAATTAATGACATTTCTATGGTGTAAAAAAATGGATATCCTAAAGACCTTATTTAAAGCAAAAATAATTATAATGTGATATATATATTGTTACCGTGCAATAAAATCACTCGTATCGTGATATAAGATTTTGGTCATATCACCCACCCCTAATATGAATAAACCAAAATTTAAAAAGATAAAGTCAGATACCAAAGAAATGGTACCTTTAGAAGTGGCCTATATATGCACGCAATCCTTGCTCTAAACAAATGTAAGCCAAAGGGTCATTTCGAAGAAGCCCTTTCTGCAATAACCTGAGCAGCTATTAGTAAAGTATTATATTTCAGGGCCTCAACCTGTTTTCCATTAGATCAGGATCAGCCATAACAACATCTGGTACAGAGTTGGTGTCAGTAATAAATGCAATGATAATCCTCAATAAAAGCACTCTAGTTTGGCATTGACAATTAAAAATGTAAGCACTGAACAGAAGCTTTTCAGATGGCTTACTGTTTCTCATATTATTTGATATACTTAAAATTGGGGAAGTTGTGCTGTATTTATTGTACAAATGTAATTATATTACTTCTCAGGACACGCTGTGTCAAAATCCAAGAATTAGATAACTGTTAATAGCATGTAAGACCCACTGACAATATCCTAATAATATGAATGACTATATTGCAAAATGAATGTGTTGCATGAATTTGTAGGCTATATAAACTATGTAAAGTGCTGATTTTGTTGGAATGGAGTAGTAAGATGGTTATTTTGTCACCTCTTAGTGCAATTATATTCTTTTCAAGACAGGGCAGCTGACAATTATCGTAGTTCTGTGCAATATTTATATTGATGTACTTGCCTTTGTCACTGAGTATTAATAAAAACCTATTAATGAACCCATGTGCATTAAAAAAGCAGCTTTTTGTATTTGTGGTGTACTAATGGTTGATTTCACACTCAGATGAGGGCTGTTTCGAAACCAAGCAGATGAGCTGAGGTGTCAGCACTGTACGTATTGACTATAGCTCAGACGTTGCTTAATAGACAGAACAATAGCAAAGCAAACAACAGAGTGACTGAACAGAGCCCTGTATCAGGCCTGGCGCCGGCTGTGCTTTAAGACAAAATCACGTCAACAAGTCTGTGATTGAATGTGGGTGTAAAAACGACTCTCTCTTCACAGAGCCATTGATTTAATGCTTTTTCTCTAAATGGATTACAATAACGTCAATATTATTCAATAAAGAGCTAAATGTTTTTTATGGCCAGGGTTTTCTACCAGGGGTCTGTGAAGATACAGCAGATGTATGACATGCAAGATAAAGGAATAGTTCACCCCAAAATGAAAATTTGCTGAAAATTGAGTTTGTTTCTTAATAGGAACAGATTTGGAGAGATTTGGCATTACATTACCAATGGATCCTCTGCAGTGAATGGGTGCCGTCAGAAAGAAAGTTCAAACAGCTGATGAAAACATCACAATAATCCGTAAGTAATCCACACGACTCCAGTCCATCAATTAGCATCTTATGAAGAGAATAAAGATGCATGTTTGTAGCAAGCAAAACCACCATTAAGATGTTTTTAACTTCAAACCCTTCTCGCTAAAACGAGTCCTCTATTCATAATATTGCTTTCTCCAGTGAAAAAGTCATCTCATCTGAATCGGGTGAGAAATATGCACAGACCAAGTGCTGTTTACAAACAAAAACAGTCCGAAACAAATATTTTGGTGTATTTTGATGTTAGAGGACAAAAGGGGGTGGACACTTTCACTAGAGGAAGCATTATTATGGACTGGTCTGGTATTTTAACCAGGTCTAAAGTTAAAACACCTTAATGATGAATTTATTTATTATGAACACATTTGCGCTTCAAACACATTAACTGATCAACTAGTTGTGTGGATTATTGTGTGTTTTTATCAGCTGTTTGGACTCTCATTCTGACGGCACCCATTCACTGCAGAGGTTCCATTAGTGAGTAATGTAATGCTAAAATTCTTCAAATCTGTTTAGATGAAGAAACAATCTTATCTACATCTTGTTGTACAGCCTGAGGGCGAGTAGCCTACATTGAGAAATATGCACAGACCAAGTGCTGTTTACAAACAAAAACAGTCCGAAACAAATATTTTGGTGTATTTTGATGTTAGAGGACAAAAGGGGGTGGACATTTTCACTAGAGGAAGCATTATTATGGACAGGTCTGGTATTTTAGCCAGGTCTAAAGTTAAAACGCCTTAATGATGAATTTATTTATTATGAACACATTTGCGCTTCAAACACATTAACTGATCAACTAGTTGTGTGGATTATTGTGTGTTTTTATCAGCTGTTTGGACTCTCATTCTGACGGCACCCATTCACTGCAGAGGTTCCATTAGTGAGTAATGTAATGCTAAAATTCTTCAAATCTGTTTAGATGAAGAAACAATCTTATCTACATCTTGTTGTACAGCCTGAGGGCGAGTAGCCTACATTTTCAGCACATTTTCATATTCATGTGAACTATTCCTTTACGACAATGATTTTGATCTTATTAAATAATTGAATAATAATATTTATTGTTTTATAATCTATTTTATATCGGTGGTCCCTGTCTAGATGAGGGTCCTTGGGTCCTGCATTTCTAATAAATGATCTATTATTAAAAGAAAATGCTTAAAATATGCAACTGACCTCATATAATTCACATCTGTATCTTAAGTTGTTTACAGTGCAAATGAACGTACATAGATGCTTTCACTGATTTTAATGCGAGTGTTCTAGTTTGTCGCGTGTGATTGGTACACTGGGCGTTGACGTCAGAATTCCATCCACTAGCGTTACTCCGATAGCTCGCAGTGTACACAAATTCGCGGCTTATTAGTGGGCGCGTTCAGGTTTGTCGCGTCGCGTCGCTCCGCTCGTTTACTGTAGACGGAGGAGGTGTTGGATGTGAAACTCTCACTCCTCTCCCCCTCCGACTGTCACCGACAAACAACGTGGGACGGAGGAATTTGTTATACTACACCACAGAGACTTTTGCACTGCTTTTTATACACCGCCGCGTCACAAGTAAATCTCGCGTTTCGCGGAGCTGGAAAATATGTGTAAAGTACTGACAGCGGTCAAATAAACTTTGCGCTATCACCCGCGGTTGAGTACTCACAAATGTCATGCACTGTTCAAGAGCCTTTGCCTTCCGTGACATTCAGCGGACTTTATAACAACCAACATGAAGCAGACAGGTACACTTAGAACGCGTTGCCTGTCCTAAAGGACTTTTAAACTGGTTGAAGTCGTTGTAAACATGGAAGAGACAGGCGCTGGGAACGGTACTGGGACGCAGGGCTGTGAACTGGAGCGTTCTGGAGACGGAGGACTGGATGAGGTGCAGATGCATCTCGCCTGCTTACCGGAGCGATACATGAGAGCGAAGTTCTCCCTCTCAGCGTACATATTTTGTTGGACAGTAGTAAAGTTGTGTCAGGTAAGGCATGTTACATCTGAAAGTACAAAATGAAATAATGACCCTCAAAATATGAATATTTTACTCAGTATATTTGTCTTGTTTTCCAATAAAAATTTCGGAACATTCTTAAATCCAGAAACATTTACTTGTAAAGGAAAATAGCATAGAATGTTAAGTCTTGTTTTCAAAAAAAAAAAAAAAAATGAAGTGACTTTTTAAAAATCAAGTTGATTTTTCTTTTACCATTAGCAGGTTTGTTTGTTTATTTATTTTTTTGTATTAAGTATACAGTTGTTAAACATTTGTCAAGTCATTAAGTCATTATGCTTTTAAGTCAAATGTATCTTGGCAGTTCACTTAAATAGCTGTGTAGAATGACAAGCTTATTTTTAAAAGTACAAATGTTAAAAGTAGAAATCAAATAATGTGAGGTCATAAAAAATGTAGATAATTACTATATAAGACATGGGTTTTCAGTCTTTACAGATATCTATGCATTTCAATTAAAGCTATTTTAATCTAATTTATGATATGCCGAGACCCCCTAGTGAGACCCGGCCGGCCCCCTGGTTGAGAATGACTGATGTAGAGTATAGTCTTGTTCATAACAGATGGTGAAGGTTTGCTTCACTGAAGATTCCCTCTCAGTCAGAAAGTTAAAAGTGCTTTGAGTGGAGTCAGACCCTCCACCTGCTCTAACCCAGGGGGTCTGTTAAGCTCATTAGTATTTAACTACCCAACCCTTCTCCTCAATCTCACCCTTTTTATACTCCAATCATTTTATGGTATGATGCAGTTGAAAGGTGTGAAATCATCTTCACACTGGTCCATTAAATGGCTGTTGGGGGTCTGTGAAAAGTAAGGATTATCTCCCAAAAATTGTAAGGGGCAAATGTAATTGTACTGATTACTGTCCTTGATTAAATCATAACTGGTCTGATCTCCTTCAGCCTGTTTATAGGTCTGAACACAAGCAACTTCCAATTAAGTAACACTCACTTTTCAGTTCGTCTGAATATTGTCTCCATATTTGCCTCTTAAAATGCAGCTAAATCCTTGAACCTGTTCCAAAAGTGCCCATTGTAAATCCATTAAATGGCTGTTGGGGGTCTGTGAAAAGTAAGGATTATCTCCCAAAAATTGTAAGGGGCAAATGTAATTGTACTGATTACTGTCCTTGATTAAATCATAACTGGTCTGATCTCCTTCAGCCTGTTTATAGGTCTGAACACAAGCAACTTCCAATTAAGTAACACTCGCTTTTCAGTTCGTCTGAATATTGTCTCCATATTTGCCTCTTAAAATGCAGCTAAATCCTTGAACCTGTTCCAAAAGTGCAGTGTTTCTCAGGGCACTGAAACGTCTGTAATGGCTGGCTGACTGTGTCCATGCGCTATCCCTCTACCAGCCTTTGAAATGCTGTCATTTGAACCTTTCCATGAATATAACAGCTGTAAATCACAGCAGCTTCTTAAGGTTTATGACCTGTTAGGGGTTTATCTTTTATTCTAAGCAAGGCGTAGCTAGAACCTCTGCATGCCCAAACATCAGCAACAAAGTGGTTTCTTGGATTATTTAGGGAATAAAAGACTGGAGTTTGTATTATTAGTATTTTTTGGTAGGCACTATAATTTCAAAGACCTTCAGTGATCCTATTCACATGTGACTTCCTAATGGTTTAAAATGGATAAAATCTGACAACTTAATCTGGTTTAATAAAAGATTATATAAATAGTGTACCTTGTAATGAAACCAAGCTGGCTGTCTTAGGTCGGAGGTCACAGCACAACCTTGAACTGGTTTTAATTGTTTTGATTGGTTAAAGAATGAACATTGACATTAAACCTCAGCAGGAGGTTTTTTTACATGGTAGAGAACCATATGGCTGGCTAGTAGATCAAACAATGGCATGTATTTCTTAAGACATTTATGACCGAACAAAAATTGTACAAGAAACGGTAGCTTTTAACAAGCACCATGGGTTAGATTTTTCTCTTTCATGTTTATTTGGTAGCATTACTTAAGTTTTAACTATAGTAAGATACCTGTTTAACCTCAAAAGAAGACATAATATTAAATGTGTGGGCTATGTGCTAAGGAAATCTTGTTTACTTCACCCTAATTAAACACTAAATATGATTGTTCCAGTAATACTGTACCAGTTCCCTGTGGTTTGCATTAACGTCAACAGTTTGCCGTAAGGCTAATGCCTGCATTGCTTCTGTTTTGTACAGATTTGTTGGTAGTTTAATTCACGACACACCTTGAAACAGTCTTGTATATGTTTCCTATTTGTTTGTCTCCAGAGATTAAGACCGTCGCCAGTTCTTCCCCAGGTAAGCTCAGTCTTTCTTTTGAGTTTGATGAACCTGATTGTACTCTTCAAATCTCATACCAACAGAAAAACACCCATAGTTTACACTGTAGCAAACCCAGATATTGCCATAATTCTCATTCAGTTCATTTAGATTATTTAAGCACTGATGTAGTGAGAGTTTATTATCCAATACTCTTAGATCTGTCATTTTCCATTTAATGCGAGGATTCATTCATTTGAATTTAATCCCACTAAGCGTCTTTCTGCCAAAGGGTTTGATGTAATCATCATCGAGGAGCAAGCATGCACCATCAGGACATACTGTACTGTACTTCTCCTCACATGCTGCCAGCAGCTTATCTGCCTTCACCGCTGTAGAGGCTGTGCCTTAACTTGTCGGATGTTGCTAAGGAGTTGTGCAATGCATTGAAGTCTAGTGTCTGCAGATGGTTGGTGCACTTTCCTGACACCATGAACAGAAGATTTGCAGTGTGTTGTGTTGCTCTGATCAGGTATGAACAGGCCAGAAAATGAGGTTGGTTTTAGCCAGTGTTGCCTCTTATTTAATAGAATGATTAGTCGTGATAGTTTACCACCCTCCCTACAGCAGTAGTTGTTGATTCCTGTCATACAATTTGTTCACTTCCTTTCTTGTTTTATTGAAATGTTAGCTAATATTATTGCATAATATTTTTCATTCATTAGGAGTTACATATTAATAGGAGGTTCATACAGTCATTGTGAATGTTTGTTTGCAGGTGCTTGTTAGTTTTTGCACTGACAAGATTTTTTAGGCACTAATGATAATTTTAAGTCGGAACTATGATTATGTTGAGGTAAGGGGTCAGGTTAAAACATCCAGCAGAAGTGTTATTTTGATTGGCATTTATACGTTCACTTCTTTTTTGAGGTTATGCGAGGCAGAACTTGATGCGTAGAAACATAACCTGTAAATTCCAGCCATTCAGATAGCTTTGGGTGAATTCAAATGGGATTACAGGCATCTTGCATCATATTAATAGCATAAGGAAACCTTGTTTAGAGTCGCGTGAAAAATTATTAAGACCCTTAATCCTCTCCAGAGTTATTATTTAAAAGAAACTCTAAAATATTATGCTAGTCTAAGTATTTAGTACTCACATTTTGATATTAGATATTTTTTTAAATGGAACCGTTTATTGAACTTTAAGACAAAATCTAAAAAAAAAAGTTTGCATGTGTGTTTTTTGTTGAGTATTACATTTTTTATACGTCAGCTCATATAGCTCATAATAATATGATATAAGAAAATATGAAACTCATACTTGAGGAGGAAAAAAGAGGTCCAAAATGAGCAAAATATGCAATTTGGTGTAGTTGCTATATATATATATATATATATATATATATATATATATATATATATATATATATATATATATATAAAAAAAGAGAGATATATATAAAATCTAATTTTACACATTATGCGACATAATCGTGACTTTATCATGTTTAAATTCATTCTTGCATAATTATTAAATCATGCAATGTAATCATCATGTTATTGTTCATAAAAAAGCACTCTAAGGGGCCGTTCACACAGAACCTGTTTTTCCATTCCAATTGCAAAAAGTAAGATGAAATTCTGATACCTGGTCATGTAAATTAATGAGGTCTGTATTTAGCAAACTATTTATAAAATACAAATAAACATCAATTGTCACTCTATATCGCCTAATTATATTTTGTAATAAGATGATATTTAAATGCTTAATTTTATGATCAGCTTGGTAGTTTTTACTGTGGGGGTCAAAACATATAATGCAATGCAGATATGTATAAATACATGTTCCTCAAAAGCCTGTTGTATCATATTTGATACTCAAATTTTAACATAGATAATCAAATAAACCTAAGTTGCTTTAGTCCACTAAGTGTTCATCATCAAATATTACTAACAATGTAAAAGTTATTCTTATGTTTACGTTATAAAAATCAGCAAAGACTTCACAGCAAAAAGACATGTGCACCACAACCTGAAGGGGGACTTTTTAGAATTATGTTAAAGGGTTAGTTCACCCAAAAATAAAAAAAATTGCCCCTAAATTACTCACCCTCAAGTCATCCTAGGTGTATATGACTTTCTTCTTTCAGACGAATCCAGTCTGAGTTATATTAAAAATAGTCTTTGATCTTTCAAGCTGTTTAACGCCACTCAGTGGGTGTTGCATGCATCAGTCCAAAAGAAGTTAAATAAAAAGCGCCCATCCATAAAAACATTTTCTCACACGGCTCTGGGGGGTGAACAAAGGCCTCCTGTAGCGAATCGATGCGTTTTTGTAAGAAAAATATCCATATTCAAAACATAATAATCACTTTAATGTAGCTTTCGCCAACAGTTGTACACGGAAGCAGTTCCGGGCGGATGACGTATGAGTTCAGTGTTGTGCATGCACTGACAAGTCTCGTGAAAACCAACATTTGTTAACAGGAGCAAAGGAAGCAAAGTGTTCTTACTTTAGTAAAGGAAAACCAGTCTCCTCTTGGCTTATATCGAAATCCTCCGACATTCTTCTTTACAAATCCTCGTTTTGTACTTCTAGTTAGTGACAGTTGTTTTGTTTTGATCTCTCCCCTGTGCTTCCGTGTTCGTCACTTCTGAGCGGCGCATGCGCAAAGCTGACCTTATACGTCATCCGCCCGGAACTGCTTCCAGTGTACAACAATGAGCGCAAGCTACATTAAAGTGATTATTACGTTTTGGTTTACGAAAGAAGTCTCTTATGCTCAAGAAAGGCTGCATTTATTTGATCAAAAATGCAGTGAAACAGTAATATTGTGAAATAGTATTACACTTTTCTATTTAATATATTTTAAAATATTTTATATTTAATTTATTCTATTGGCTAAGCTGAATTTTCATCATCCATTCATTATTATTATTATTATTATTATTATCTAGGATTAAGTATGTTGGGATAAGCGTATATATCATTGCATAAATGACAGGTGTGAATTTGACCCATTTATCCTGGCAGATTTGCTGTTCTTCTGGTTGGTTTAGTAGAGAAGGATTAGCCACACTTCTTGGTGCCGTGTTGTGTTAGATTTGTGCAATACGTATTGATTTAATTGTTGTGTCATTTAACCATAAAATCTTTCATTGTGAGCTCTGTTATAGTTTATGGTTCTCTTGAATGCCATAGTCTATTTCACTTATTTGAGGGATGGCATCTATTGTGCCCCCCACTTTTAAAGGCCAGTGTAGAGCTCTTTATATGGTTGACTGCTGCACCTTTACTACATTCCCCTGCATACAAATAAAAATATCACAAGAAATACATTTGTAATTTAGTAAAATATGAGAATTAATTTCTAATTATATTATTATATATAGTTTTGTATAATTACACATGTATGTCTTTTTTTTTAAATACTTAAATAATAAAACATACTACAGTATATAGAACAAATTGAAAGGCAACTTTAAAGTGAAGGTAAAAGCAGTTGCCTTTAATGAAAAGGATTTTGCAGAAGGTGAAATACTGGTAGAATTTCATGCTTTTCCAGCTCAGCTCTAATCTGCCTCTTCATGTCTGAGCTTGTACCTATTTTACAGTAATAATAAAGTCAGCTGTGTCACTTAAATCATCTTCTGGGCATTTAGCCTTATTAGAGTTTTGAAATTTCCTTTAAAATATATCTGAGTGTATAAGATGTAGACATTGTGGCTTTAACTTTAGTATTTAACTTGGTACAAATGCATGTTTCTATATTTTTTATATATACAGTATATCCGTCTAATGGTTCCATCCGCACAGTTTGCTCTCAGTTGAGACTTATGAAAATCAGGGTTATATATAGTGTATGTATTACAAAGTATTTGCATGCTTTAAACGGTGCACCATTATAATCAGCAAGCCTAGTGATATATTCTTGGATTTCTGGTCACATGCTCCTCTGAAGTATGCTTTGAAGGGTTGTGCCCAACAGGCAATGCAAGCTAGAGGCATGAGTTACAATGCCACAAACATGCAAATAATGCTGAATCATTCATAAACTCCCACATTAGTTCTAATTGTAACACATAATCTTCTAAAATCTCAGCATTGCCCTTCTTGTTTGTGGACCGAAGGAAGAACCTGTCACAATGCTCATGACCCAGTGCTGAACCTCAGAGTTGGCTTTAGACTGTTGCATTGGCTGTGGTGAACTCTCATGTGGTGAGAGTATGATAGCAGCGGACTGCCAGGGTAAACTTCACCCTGGTTAAAGTTCTCTGGATACACACTCCATAATTACTCTCCTTTAGACAATGGGTTAAACACTACTGTAATCACTAAAAATGTCTGGGAACCACAGAGATGTGAAAAGAGGAGCTAAAGAGAGTTGGCAGTACTTGTATTGTTTCTGTGCTTCGGATCTTTCTTCTGTGGATTAGCTGGAAAGACTGGGTTTTATCCGTGCATTTGAAGTTCAGCGCATTTTTATGTGGTCCGTTAATCAGTCATGCATCGGAAAGAGCTCCTCATTATCATGTACCGCCCCGCTTGCATTGTGACCTCTTTCAGCTCCTGACTGACAACTTCCCTCTGTGCTCGCTCCCCCTCAACCCGCCCAACGCTGAATAACTGATTTTGATCACTCACAGTAATAAAAGTCACATGTCTGCCTGGAACAATGGCCTTTCATTTGGTGGCTGCATTCATTATGACTAAAATATGTTAGTATTTAGCGCTTTATTCTAGGTGAGACAGAGGGAGAGTGAGAAAGAGAGAGAGCGCGACAGTTATTCAGGGGTATTCGTTATGGACTAAACAAAGAAATCTGGAAGTGCTTGCTTTTCTTTTCATTCCCTCTCCTTTTAGAATAAAGCGACTTCTCACGCACACTCCTCTTCTTTGGAGGTGGTTGCCGCAGGCGAAGGGCTGCAGGAGGTGTGCCAGATTTGTACTGGCAAGCTGTTTATTTATTTCCTTTTGCCTCAAAGCTCTAAAACATGCTCAGGTGGACTGCATAGACTTCATTTATGAATGCTGA